ACTGTGTTTATTAAAAATTTGACATGACTGTTTTGCTGCAAATAAACCCACACCCATCCTTGTTCAGAGACCCTAAAGAACAAACTCTTGGCTTGATGTCAGGGAAATGTTCCTTGCTATTCACTGGCTTCCCTCGTGATGGGCATTTCACCATGAGCTCCATGTCAAGTACACCTGTTTGTTCTGAGAAGCAAGGACTCACGTAGGTCACTGTGTTAGCAAGCACCAGGACAGCAAGAACTTTTTGAAGGATCAGTCCTGCAATGAGGGGAATGCATTTGAATCAGGCAGCTAGAAAATGTCTTTTTTTTTTTTTAAATTTTTATTTTGATTTGGGTGAAAGTTTACAGAGCAATTTATTTTCCATACAGCAGATCATATACATTGTGTCACATGACATTGACTACACTTTCCCACAATGTAACAGCTTTCTTCCCTCTTCTTCCCTGTATTTACCTCTTCCCTGTGTCCTTCTCTCCCATGCACGGCCCCCCGAGCTGTCTCCCTGTGTATTCACTGCCCTTCTGTTCTCCCAGAATTGATCTCTCTAAGGAATTAATCTTCCTGATGTAAATGTTCAGCCCATATGCTTGTCTGGTCTGTTGTTTGGCTGGGAGCCACAGGAGTGAGTTCAATTCCAGACCTGAAGTGCAGCTAGGGGCCATAGTGTCAGTGGTTCTACCAGACTCTATCAGACAAGTAAGCATGGTCTTTTTTTTTTTTTCTAAATAACTTTGAGTGTTGTTCCAAATAAAATGTCTCTTTTGATTTGAGGACACAACTTGACAGATTCCTGAGCTTACATTCCTGACTTTAGTAATCTTCTTAGACCTTTGGTCATGGAGATCCTTTTCCCCTTTTAATGTTATATGTGTGTTATGTCCAGTTTCTTCTTCATGTTGCCCTTGATCACACTTATTTATGTCACTGTCACTCTCATTCTCATGCAATTATTTCCTAGTAAACTGCTTTTTAAGCATTAGCCTGAGTGCTGAGACACGAAAATGTGGCTAAGTCTATCTTTGTCCACAACAGCCTTTTTGTCCCATAACAATTCTTTCCTTTTTGTTTCTTACTGTGAACCTCAACTTGAATTTTGGGGCCAGTCTCTGGAAATGTTAATGATGGAGAAAAATTATCCAGTGAACATATAATGGTGCAATTCTTGAAGAATGACACCTGGTCCCCCATGTTAGGAGAAATCTCTGAATCCCAGGATAACAAACATCAGCATAGAAACCATGGGCGTTCTGTGAGGTGAGTGTCATCCATACAAGAGACAACAAACAGTGCCTCAGGAGAAAGTCCTGAGGTGTCCTGATGTCATGTATTTACATATATACTTATATATATATGTTGATACAAAGAGCTCTGGTTGTGTAGTGCATGAGGCTTCTGATTGCTAGCCAGAAGGTTGATGGTTCAAACCCACCAGCCGCTCAACGGAAGGAAGATGGGGCAATCTACTTCTGTAAGGATTTACTGCCTCAGAAACCCAATGGGGGTCGTTATGAGTAGGAATCGACTCAATGGCAGTGAGTTTGTTTTTTTGTTTTGTATACGTTTAAACATGTATTCCTCATTTACCAGCATCACATTATCTGATATTGTAACAAAAATCTAAAATTGACTATTTCACGCATTAATGACATACATCTGGCAGTAATAAAGGCTGAAGTAGGAGGCAAGAGTAATGTTGCTGTGAGGATCAAGGTGATGTGTCAATATGGCTGTGCCATGATTCTCAGCAGTTTCGCAGTTATCACTGTATACAGTGATGTAATTTGACAGATTAATAATGACATGACTGGAACGTTTTAGATTATCTTGCACATTCAATAGCTACCCACTGCCACTGAGTCAGTTCCAACTCATGGTGACCCCCATTGGGTTTCCAAGGCAGTAAATCTTTATAGAAGTAGATTGCCTCATCTTCCTTCTGCAGAGCAGGTGGTGGGTTTAGAACCTCCAGTCTTCTGATTAGTAGTCAAATGTCTTAGGTGCTATGCCACCAGAGCTCCTTATTTAGTATGGTAGTCTTTGGTCTTGCAAAATTCTGTCATGTGATCTCCAGCATTATTTCTGTCACCAAGACCAAATTTTCCAACTACTGGTGATTCAGGTTTGTTTGTAACTTTTGCATTCCAGTCACTAGCGATAATTAGCACATCCTGATTGCATGTTCGGTCAATTTCAGACTGCAGAAGTTGATACACATCTTCTGCTTCCTCATCTTTGGCTCTGGTGTTTGGTGTGTAAATTTGAATAACAGTATTATTAACTGGTCTTCCTTATAGGCTTATGGATATTGACCTATCACTGACAGCATTGTACTTCAGGATAGATCTTGAAACATTCTTTGTGACAATGAATGCCACACCATTCCTCTTCAAATTGTCATTCCCGACAGAGTAGATTATATGGTCATCTGATTCAAGATGGCCAAAAACGGTCCATTTCAGCTCACTAATGCCAAGGATATCAGTCTTTATGTGTTCCATTTCATTTTTGATAACTTCACATTTTCCTAGATTCATACTTCTTACATTCCATGTTCCGATTACTAATGGATGTTTGCAACTCTTTCTCCTCAGTTTGAGTTGTGCCCTGTCAGCAAATGGAGGCACCAAACACTTTACTTTATCCATGTCATTCATGATGGTTCTGCTCTGATAAGGCAGATTTTTCTGAGTCATATTTTGAGTGCCTTCAGACCTAAGGGGCTCATCTTCCTGCACTGTATCAGACAATGTTTCCAGACTATTAATAAAGTTGCCTAGTAATGTGTCTGACAGTATTTCTCTGCTATGCATAAGGTTTTCCCTGGCCATTCTTTGAGAAGTGGGTGGCCTCTTCCTTCTGATGAGTCTGCCTCAGTCTGTAAGCTGCGTTGAAACCTGTGCACCATGTGCAACCCTGCTGGTGTTTGAAATACTGGTGGCACAGCCTCAAGCCTCACAGCAACATGCAAGCCACCACAGTATGACAAACTGACAGACAAGTTCATCTCCCTTAGCTGTTGTAAACCTCTCCTTCCTCCCCCTTACCTGGATCCTACCTGGAACTTGTGGCTTTGTGGTCCCCAGCATTCCCTCCCTTTCCTGCCTCTGGTTTGGGGCCTGTCTCTGATATGCATAGAGTTTGGTAAAGTAGAGGGCCCATGACAAAGAGGTAGAACCTCAGTGAGGTGGAGTGAGACAGTGGCTGCAGCATTGCCTCAAGCCTAGCAACAGTTGTGAGCCTGGCCAGGAATGTTGTTGTTGTTATGTGCCGTCGAGTTGGACCTGACTCATAGCGACCCCTCCTTGGGTTTCCGAGGCAGTATCACTACGGAAGTAGATTGCCCAACCTTCCTTCCGAGGAGTGGCTGGTGGGTTTGAACCGCCAACCTTCTGGTTAGCAGTCAATGCCTTAGCCACTATGCTACCAGAGCTCCAGGAATAGGCAGTGTTTAATTTTCTTGTGCATGGGATTCCTATGAGTCTGAACCAACTCGATGGTACCCAGTAACAACAACATACACACAACTTAGGTGTAAAATTACACGATCAGAGAATTTTCACAGTACATTTTCACAAATATGAGTCAGATACTGAGTATTTCAAATATGTTTCACTTGCACGTCGTTATAAGAAAGCCATATATTTAAGAAGAACATAGACAGTAATGGTAGTATTACTGTTGGATCATTTAGCCTATGCAACCAAAGATATGTTGGCAAACAGCGTGGACATTCACTGCCTTTAGTAATTGTGAAATGGGAACAAATTTATTTACAAAAATACATTGTCTGTTTTCTAGCAGAAGTCATATAGTGGAGAACTTCATTGAGAGTAATGGTGGCAAACAGTGTGAGAAAAGCTTCAACCGGATTCCAAATCTGACTGCACTACCAAGAAATCCTCCAGAAGTAAAGGCTTTCAAATGCTGTGAGTGTGGAAAAGCCTTCATGGATCACTTGTCACATAACCATCATCCCAGACCTCACACTGGATGCATCACCTGTCAGTGTAAGGAATGTGGAGAGGCCTGCAATTGTCCTTCTTACCTAACCCCTGTGAGAACTCTGAATGGAAAGAAACCCCATAAATGTCAAGTATGTGGGAAGGACTTCATTTGCTCCTCACCCTTCAAGAATCCTGTGACAATAGCCACTGGTGAGAAACACTATGAATGTACCGAATGTGGGAAAGATTTCTCTAGTTTCTCATCCTTCTGGATGCATTTGAGAGAACAACAGCATGAATATAAAGACTATTGTAAAACCTCTAGTCATCCTTCATCCCTCGTTTTACATAAAAAATTTTCTAACAGAGATAAGCCTTATGAATGTAAAGAATGTGGGAAAACCTTTAGGGAGGCCTCGTCCCTCAATCAACACATAAGAATTCACAGTGGGGAGAGGCCTTATGAATGTAAGCAGTGTGGGAAAGCCTTCAGTCAGGCCTCACACCTCAGTACGCATATAAAAATTCACAATGGGCTGAGACCTTATGCCTGTAAGGAATGTGGGAAAGCCTTTACTCAGGCCTCATCTCTTACTACACATATAAGGATTCATAGTGGAGAAAAGCCTTATGACTGTAAGGAATGTGGGAGGGCCTTTAGTCAGGCCTCATCCCTCACGACACATATAAGGACTCACAGTGGAGAAAGGCCATATGTATGTAAGCAGTGTGGGAAAGCGTTTAGTTGTTCTTCAGCCCTCACTACACATATAAGAACTCACACTGGTGAGAGACCTTATGAATGTAAGGAATGTGGGAAAGCCTTCAGTCGGGCCTCATTCCTCACTACGCATATAAGAACTCACAATGGAGTTAGGCCTTATGAATGTAAGGAATGTGGGAAAGCTTTTAGTCAAGCCTCCTCCCTCACTACACATATAAAAACTCACAGTGGAGAGAGGCCATATGAGTGCAAAGAATGTGGAAAAGCCTTCAGTTGTTCCTCTGCCCTCACCACCCATATTAGAACACACAGTGGAGAGAGGCCCTATGAATGTAGGAGATGTGGGAAATCCTTCAGTCAGGCCTCAGCCCTCACTAGACATATAAGAACTCACAGTGGAGAGAGGGCTTATGAATGTAAGGAATGTAGGAAAGCATTTAATCGGGCCTCGTACCTCACCACGCACATAAGAACTCATAGTGGAGTTAGGCCTTATGAATGTAAGCAGTGTGGGAAAGCCTTTAGTCAGGCCTCACACCTCAGTACACATATCAAAACTCACAGTGGAGAGAAACCTTATGAATGCAAGGAATGTGGGAAAGCCTTCAGCCATTCCTCAGCCCTCACGACACATAGAAGAACTCACACTGGAGAGCGACCATATGAATGTAAGGAATGTGGGAAAACTTTTAGTCAGGCTTCATCTCTCACTACACATGTAAGGACTCACAGTGGAGAGAGGCCTTACGAATGTAAGGAATGTGGGAAAGCCTTCAGTGATTCTTCAAGCCTCACTGCGCACATGAGAACGCACAGTGGAGAGAGGCCTTATGAATGTAAGCAATGTGGGAAAGCTTTTAGTCAGGCCTCACACCTCAATAGACATATTAGAATTCACAGTGGAGAGACTACTCTGAGTTAAAAGTGGGGTGTTTTATTCTTACTGTTAAAATTTCAAACAGCACATTTCCTAAAGTCTGGGATTGAATAACAGTGTTTTTCAGTGAGTGAGAAAGACTATTGACTCTACCAATGGGTCATCAAAGCTGCTTTGTTCCTTTAGGACACATGGCAGTTTCACTTTGTTTTCTGTCCTCATCAGTGTGTATTACTTTCTCAAGCTAAATGTTACCTTTCTTAAAAGTTTTTGGCCATTATACATAATGCTTCAGAGAATAGCCTTGAGGATATGGGGTTTTATATTTTTTAATCTTATTTTGCATACAGTAAAATTCACCGACTCCTCACTTTTCAACTGCCTTCTTATTCAGCATTTCAAGTTTATAATAATAGTAACAAACTACTGCCCTACTATCTGACTATGTTAAGCATTAATGACAAACACTGGAATGTAATAAAGTGCTGAGGTGCAAGATGAGAATAACACAGGCCATCACTGGTAAACGTAGGTGCCAGATTGGCTGGGCCATGGTTTTCAGTGGTTTGGTAGTTATGTAATGATGTAATTAGGCAGTTACATTATCATATAATTTGATGCTTTGATTCCAAAGACTTTAATTTTTGTAGAGCAGTGATTTTTGCATAATGACTTGGTCTGTGGAAACTATGTCAGTAAAGGTGGAATGTGTATATTGATCTTGTATGTCATTGAAGAGTGATTTGTTTTGGTTCCATATTTACCTTCTAATCTTCTGTTCTTTCCTAGTAAAAAGTTAACTCTTTTACCCTTTATAAATTTCTCATAGGGTGATTCTTTGAAAACATACAAATGTTCTATTTTACATTGTACATTGGCTTAATAATTTTAGTACCTATTGGTAAGTATTACCTTTCATTCTATTGAATATAGGGTCCCTATGGATTGAAGCCAACTTTATGGCACCCAATGACAAGACAACAACAACAGACAGTTTTTACCTTTGATTGTTATTACTGTGGAATTTACGAATGGTGTTTTTTTGTTCCAGTCATTTATTTTATGTTTATTAATTGGAATTCTGTAAGGAATAGCTCTTCCTTCTCTTCCTTTTGTTTACCTATTAAATTATTTATACTAGTATAGACTCACACATTACTTTAGTTTTTCTATTCTTCCTCATATTTTCCCAGAAATTAATAAACCAAAAGGATTCTTAAAAATAAAGGAGCTGAGAACTCCAGATCTTGAGTCTGATGTTCCTAGGGGTGTAGAGGGAAGGAACCCCCCCAGACTTTTAGCTAACAGATCAGAAGTCATGAAATTTTTCAAACTTCCATACTTGCAGCTGGTATCTACCTGTTTAACAGTGTGAAGGGCAGTGTCCTGTTAATTTATGTGATCTGGCTGAGCACCAGATGGCTCCAGTCAGGGACAGTACTATGTGAGTGGCTGGTGTCCTAGCTAACCAAGGAGAGGAATCTGAGATTTCCACATAACACAGTTCATGTGGGAAGTTGGATTTCTTACTCTACTTGGAATAAATAGTAATTCTTCAAAGCCATTAAACTCTATGGGATCTTAATGCTGATGTCCCCACTGCTGTATAATGGATGTCATTTTATTGATGGTGGGAAAATGGGTTCAAGCATACTTTTGTTTCAGCATCTGATGTCAGTGTGTAGTAAGGACTCAATAAATAATGTTCAATGAGTGAATGAATAAATGAGTACATTTAGAGGCAACCAGGCGGAGACTTCCTTAGTTTCCTGCCTCTCCTTATAAAATTTCCTGTTCCCGCACCCACCCACAGTCAGCACTGTAGAGGCAATACAAAGATCAGTGGTGGCCAGGGGTTCAGGGTGAGGGAGGAGGGATGAGCAGGTGAAGCTCAGGAGAGTTTTAGGGTAGTAAAAGTATAGTGAGGAATACTGTGATGATAGACACATGACATCTTGCATTTGTCAAAGCCCACAGCACTGCAGCACAGACAGGGAGCGATGCTGTGATCCTGTGGACTTGAGGAAATAATAGCGTAACTTCTTTGATTGGCCAGCTGCAACAAAGGGACCACACACCACATGAATGGAAGATAGTAAAAGAGGACAATTACCTATGCATAGTTATCTCTAATATACACTTCTTTCAAAACAGAGTCTATTTTTGTATGGAAACAATTAGTCCAACAGACTGGTTGGTATACCATTCGATCCTCAGCCTATATGACTGTGAGACCAGAAGAACTAGATGGTGCCTGCCTACCACTGTCAACCACTCAGAGGGTGATCTTTGCAGGATATCCTGGCTGAGTGGGAGAACAATGTGGAAGAAAACTCAAAATTAAAAAAAAGGGGGTGGGGACCAGGTTTGCTGGTCTGATAGAGCCTGGTGGAACCCCTGAGACAATTAGATTAGATAGATACGCTCCTCGGAGAGATCAGTCATGGGAGACTAGAAGGGTTGTGTATGCACAGGGAGACAGCTCAGGGGGCAGGAGTGCATGGGAGGGAAAGACACAGGAAAGAGGTAACTATGGAGACGAAGTGGGAAGAGAGTTGTTGCATTGTGGGAAATTGCAGTCAATGTCATGAGCCAAAGTGTATGTGAACTGCTGTTG